GTAACAAAGGGTCTGGAGGCTAAATCATACAATGAACGGTTGAGGGAAACTACATATGTCTGCTCTGACAAAGCGAAGGACCAGGGGTGACCCAATAACTGTCTTTTAGTACTTGAGGACTGTCACAGAGAAGAGAGGGTTGAGCTATTCTCCAAAGGACCAGCGGGCAGGACAATAAGATTGGGTAGAAGTTTGTTAAAGAGAGATCTAACCTGGAACTAGGAGAAATTTCCTGAAAGTGAGGACAATTAACCAATGAAATAGCTTGCCCCCTGGAGTTGTGGGTGATCCATCGGTTGAGGGGTTCAAGAAAAGATTGGGCAACCTTTTGACTGGGATGGAATAAGGATGGTTTTGCTAGAAGACCTCCAAGGTCCCTTCCAGTCCTATGATTCTCTCTCCTCTCTACTTCTTCTAGACCGGGACTGTTTCCCTTTTCCATCCATTGAAAGCAGCCCTTGAGCAAAGCCAGTCAGGATTCCCAAATGCTTTTCTGCGTCAAAAGAGCTCCGCGTCACTCAACAATGGGGGTGCCCTGTAAGTACTCCCCCTCCTTTTTTTTCATTGATTCAACTTAGTTTGAGGCAGATAGATGAACACTTCCAGCTGTGGATGGAGCCAGCTGTTTGACAAAATGGCACAAGCGTCCATTTTGTTGGAAGATGTGAGCTGTTTCCTTCTTCGGGTGTTGTCTGATGTTCTCCGATGCTTCTTGTCGATGACAGTTGCACATGAGCAAAAGTGCTCCTATTTGACGGTTCTTCCTTAGCCCTTCCTAGGACAACTCTTCTGCCACCTGGTTTTTAGGACCCTCTTCTCTTCTTCTTTTGAAACAGGCCAATGCCCAAAGGAGGAGGCATCAAAGAATCGGTTTCTTGGGGGATCCAACACACCCAGAACATGTTTTACGAAACTAGGACACCAGCGTTTCAACGGGGCCATTCGGAGGAAATTCCTGTCCAGCAGGCAAGCGAGACGGTGGAGATATCACTTGCAGGAGGAGAGGAAAAACATAGCATTTTTTTTTTTTTAAGAAAAAAGGATTTTCCTAGGAAATCTTAACACCATATCCACCCGCTACTTTTATTTTCCATTTTGGCCTTTAGCAGAAACCCAAATTTTGGAATTCTTTGATCTTTTAAGAGAGTGTTTATTGAAGGAACTGGTTAAAATAAAAAAAGACAAATTTGGACAAACGTTCATAGGCAACAGCCTTACACGCCTGTTATTCTGTCGCTGCGTTTTCCAGGTTGTTGAAATGCAAGAAGTCAGCCCAACTTTAGCCAATGGGGAACATCAGCTGGGACTGGAGAGTCAAGGGCGAGCAGCTTCCATGCCTCGGCTGGCAGCTGAAACTCAGGTTAGCACTTTTACCAGACTCTGGGGTCCTTGGTGCTCTCTGAGCTTGGTTGGTTTCCTTGCAGACGTTTCATGACCCAACTAGGTAGCATCATCAGTGCTAGGAGGGAATGGGGTCTGGGGAGAGGAGGAGGAGGAGGAGGAGGAGGAGGAGGAGGAGGAGGAGGAGAAGGACGACTGTGGGGTCCTTGGTGCTCTCTGAGCTTGGTGGTTTCCTTGCAGACGTTTCATGACCCAACTAGGTAGCATCATCAGTGCTAGGAGGGAATGGGGTCTGTGGAGAGGAGGAGGAGGAGGAGGACGACGACGACGACGACTGTGAGGTCCTTGGTGCTCTCTGAGCTTGGTGGTTTCCTGGCAGACGTTTCATGACCAAACTAGATAACGCCATCAGTGTGTATGGGTGTCCTAAGAGGGAATGAAAGGCAAACAGTAAAGAACGATTCAGACCCTCCATTTTTTTTCTGGATGTTTTTAAAAAAGCATCTTGTTAGGGATTCAAAAAACCGGTATTCACCCAACCATCGTTTCTCATGAATAATTGTTGATTAACACTCACTTCTGTCTCTTGTCTCCATTCACCCACCCCTTCCTTGGTCTTCCGTGGATCTCATTCTCTGCCCTTCCCTCCCTCCTCCCTCCCTTCCCCCTCCCTCTCCTTGGTCATCTCGTCTCTCACGTGTCTCCTGGGATGTCTGACTGTTGCTGGTTTGGGACCCATGCCATTTTTTCTATCTGAATTGCTTGCAGAGGAGCAAAACACGGTCACCAGGGCGATATCTATCAGTATGTAGCTTGTTTGAACTCACCTGTCCGGTAAACGTCTAGTCAAGGAAAGGGTTTAAGCAGATCCCCTGAATTCTTCTGTGGCTTTTTCTTTCTTTTTAAGAATAACTCACTCAATCTAGAGGCACTAAATATCTAGATAATCTGAGCTGTGTTTCTCCCCTATACGTGTTTAAACAGCTGTCCATTTTAGTCAGGCCTGTCTCCCAAGGATGGAATCAGCGCTCACAAGCTGGAAAAAAAAATTCTATGGTGAAAGTCTATGTCAATTCTCCGTCCTCCAGGTCATGGTTGTCCCAAAGGTGCTTTTTTCACAGGGCAACTGGACTTCCTTGTTTTCCTTTGATGACGTTTCGCTTCTCATCCCAGAAGCTTCTTCAGCTCTGACTGGACGGTGGGGAAATGGAAGGATTTATACTCCTTGCAGACAGCTGGTCCTTTGCACTCTTTTAGAGGGTTGTTGAGGCCACTTGGAGATTTATCTGTATCCTAAGGTGTCCTAATGTGTCACAATAAACCTCCAAGTGGCCTCAATGGCCCTCTAAAAGAATGCAAATGACCAGCTTTCTGCAAGGAGTCTAAATCCTTCCGCTCCCCACCCTCCAGTCAGAGCTGAAGAAGCTTTTTGGACGAGAAGCGAAATGTCTTCAAAGGAAAACAAGAAAGTCCAGTTGCCTCTTGAAAAAGCATCTTTGGGTGAAAAGAATTGCCAGTCCCTATATTATAAGAGCATCTCCACGAGGAAGATAATGAATGAAAAGTTTACTTTAAGCCCTTTAAAGAAATGAAAAGATGACTTTTTATGGCTTTGATATTGGAAAGGGAGATGCTAAAGACAGAAGAGAATATTTGTAGCTCAGAGTTGGACTTTGGGGTCCTTGGTGCTCTGTGTGCTGGGTTTTTTTCTTGCAGACGTTTCATCACCAAACTCAATAACATCATCAGTGTTCAGAGAGCACCAAAGGACCCCCACAGATACTAACGAGTTTTAATTGAAAGGAATCAACTTTGAACTAAATGTTTGTGGAGATTCTCAGTCATCCAGGTCATGGTTGTCTTCTCCCCCCCCCCCAAAAAAAAAGCAAACAAAAAAAAAACATCAAAGATGTTTCGCGTCTCTTCCAAGAAGCTTCTTCAGTTCCCCTTCAGTTCACCTCATTTCAACTGAAGGAGCTTCTGGGATGAGAAGAGAAATGTCTTCAAGGAAAAACAAAATCCACTTGGCACCTTTGGGACAACTTAGAACTCAGGAGAAAGTTCCTCACAGTGAGGACAATTAACCAGTGGGACAGCTTGCCACCAGAAATTGTGAGCGTTCCATCACTGGAGGTTTTGAAGAAGAGATTGGACAGTCACTGGTCTGAGATGGTATAGGGTCTCCTGCCTGAGCAGGGGGCTGGACTAGAAGACCTCCAAGGCCCCCTCCACCTCTGTACTACTGTTAAAACAAATCAGACACAAGATCCAGTTGTGTGAAGGAAAAGATGCTACCTTTGGATGGTGGACATCCAATCAACCTCTTTGCATTCTCCTCTTTCCACAGCCCATTCCAGACACCAGCCCCATGAAGCGGTCCATCTCCACACTCAACCCACAGCGTCCCCGTGCCACACATCTTTACGAATATCCCCGGCCAGCTGAACATACTCATCACCATCACCACCATCGTTGCCATCGGCGGAGAGAGAAGAAGCAGAAGTCAGTGGACAAGCCATCCAACCACTTGATTGAGGGTGAAGCTCCTGGTAAGGGTGCCTTATATTTCTCCAGCTTGGCTGACCATGTTGAAATTTTTCAACAGCATGCTCCAGTCTGGGTATCCTTCAGAGGTGTGGCCTTCAGCTCCCAGAATCCTTAGCAATGGTCGTGTGTTGCCTAGGATTCTGGGAGTTGAAGTACGTATACTTAAACCCCTAGGAAGATCTGCCCTCTCTTCTAAAATCTCTTTGTCTCTCAAACTGGGTTGTGTATTATCGTTTGAGAGTTCCCATCCCAATGTTCCTACATAGCAGAGTTAGAGGAAGGTGTCAATATATATTTAAATTAAAAGTTGGGTTCATTTTAAAATGTTGAGCTACAGTCGTTCAATTCGGTTGATTGTGTTGACTTCCCTTTAGTCTGCAGTCATACCCAATGGAAATAATGAGAAGTCTGCACGCATACTTGAGGGGCTGTCACAAAAAAGCGGGGGCCAATTTATTCTGAGGGCAGACAAGAAGCAATTAAAGAGAGGTCCAACCTAGAACTAAGGAGAAATTTCCAGACAGAACCATTAATCGGCGGAACAACCTGCATCCAGAAGTTGTGGGTGCTCCATCACTGGAGTTTTTTTAAGAAGAGATTGGACGACCTTTTGTTTGGAATGGAATAGGATCTCCTGCTTGATCAGGGAGTTGGACTAGAATAGACTAGAGCTGGGAGGGACCGTGGAGGTCTTCTAGTCCAGTCCCCTGCTCAAGCAGGAGACCCTAGACCATTTCAGACAAGTGACTGTCTAGCCTCTTCTTCAAAACCTCCAGTGACGGAGCGCCCACAACTTCTGGTGGCAAGCTGTTCCACTGGTTAATTGTCTTCACTAGAAGGACTAGAAAGACTAGAGGACCCCCCAAGGTCCCTTCCATCTCTGTTATTCTGCATTCTGTATTCTGCATCTCTGTTTGTAGGTCTTCAGGCTTATGCGTGAACCTTGTTGGATTATGACCGACTAGAATAATTTCAATTCTTTGGTTTCCTGTTGTCTCCCCAGCAGAAGAAGCCACCTCCAAGTCCAGAAAACAGGAGCGGGGCCGGTCCCAGGAGCGAAAAGTCCATTCTTCTTCTTCCTCTGAAAAGCAGCGCTTTTACTCCTGCGACCGCTTTGGGAGTCGGGATCAGCCCAAGTCCTCTGAAGGCAGTCGACCCCCATCCCCAGGCGGAGGGCAGGAACATGGGACACAGAGACAGGTGAGGAGGTGGGGGGTGGGGAGAGAGGAGGGATGAGGCTGGAGTCAAGTTCTCTCATCCCGAAAGAGGGAGAAGACACCATGGTAGCGTCAGCCTTTCCGAGCAGAGCAGAGAGGAGTCGTTCATTTTAATTGACTGCAAGGCTACATTAGCAGAACCTTGCAAGTCGGAACGGACTTGATGTTGACCTGGAAGCACGCAGTGGATCTCCTGATTTTTCAAGGTGGACCACCTGGCTCTCCTGTCTGCTCAATTGTCTGCTCCCCGGTTGTCTTCATTTGGAATCCTTTCTCCTCCCTGTTGGTTTCCTACCTTTCTCCCTCTGTTCAAATGGTGCTGGAGCAGCTTCCCTGTCCTTGACTGTGCACATTTAAATTCTCTCTTTCCCTTTTTGTTTTTTTGTTTTCTTTTCATCCTACGATACATTCCTCTGTTCATATCATTCATTCTTCTGTCCTTTGCGTTTTTGCCACTCTACTCCAACATGTGACTCTGTGTTCGTCTGGTATTCTTATTATTGCTCGCCGTCCTTCTCCTTCTCGTCCTTCTCCATATCTCTCTTCTCTTTCTCCTCCTCCTCCTCCTGCTCCTCCTCCTCCTCCTTCTTTCTGCTTCTCTTTTGCCTTCTCCTTCTCCTTTCTCCTCCTTCTTTTTCTCCTTCTTCTTCTCCTTCTCTTTCACCTTCTCCTCCTCCTCCTTTTTCTCCTTCTTCTCTTTCTCCTTCTTCTCTTTTGCCTTCTTCTTCTGCTCCTCCACCTCCTTTTTTCCTTCTTCTCTTTCACCTTCTTTTTCTCCTTCTTTTTCTCCTCTTTCACCTTCTCCTCCTCTTTTTCTCCTCCTCCTCCTCCTTCTCCATATCGCTCTTCTCTTTTTCCTCCTCCTCCTCCTCCTCCTCCTCCTCCTCCTCCTCCTCCTCCTCCTCCATCTCCATATCTTCCTCCTCCTCCTCCTCCTGGTTTTTGTTTTGTTCATTTACTTTCTTCCAATCTTCATGTAGGGCAGTGGTTCAGTTAACGGGAGCCCCCTGCTGTTGACCTCTGGTGCTAGCACCCCCTGCCGTGGTCGGAGGCAGTTGCCGCAGACCCCGCTGACGCCACGCCCTAACATTACCTACAAGACTGCCAACTCCTCGCCTGTGCATTTCTCCGGGTTCCAGACCGGCCTGCCAACTTTCTCCCCGGGACGCTTGAGCCGGGGTCTCTCTGAGCACAATGCTTTGCTGCATGGCGACTCCCAGGGACCCTCACCAACCCTGATGGCCCGGATCGGTTCGGACCCTTACCTGGGACACCGGGAGGAGAGCGACAGTCCCTACCACATGATGCCTGAGGACACCCTCACCTTTGAGGAGGCCATGGCCACCAATTCAGGGAGGTCCTCCCGAACCTCTTACGTTTCCTCTCTAACGTCCCAGTCCCATCCAATCCGTCGAGTCCCCAATGGGTACCATTATGTTTTGGGACTGAGTGCCGGCCCTGGCACCAGCACTAGGGCGCGTAGCTATTACCACGAGCGAGACGAAGACGATTGGTGCTAGCAGGACAAGGACCAAGTTGCACACTGGAGGTCGATGAGTTTTATCATCCGGAGAACCGCCACGTTGATGCGCATGTGTTTGCATCCAGCCCTGTGACATCAAGGCTGTTAGGGGAAAGAAGAAGATCCAAGCAGCTGCCTCTCTGTGGAACAGCTCTGGCCAAGATGGCCCTCGGTGCGTGCGCCACACTGTCGGTAAAAACGCCCGCTCTCTCCATTCCGGTTTCTTCTTTTGCACTAGAGAGCTATGGATCGGTCAGCAAAGGCACCGTCACGGATGGCCTGAGCAGCGCAAACGTCCTTCGGTTCTCCTCCCTGTTGCCATGTCATGGGAGACACCACCTCCCGCCCCAAATTATGAGGCTACAACAGAAGCCCAGGGAGAAAAATCCTAGACTCTGGAATCTGGACAGTTTGGGATGAGCAGGAGGAGAAGACAACCCTGATGTACAAAGAACAAACCTACATTTTATTGTGTCCACCTTTTAAGAAGGGAGTTTATCCAGCTGGATCCTCAACCCTTGGCCAATGGTGACCCTTTATAAACCAAGCCCATCCTGGAAATTCCCAATAGATCCAAGCAACCACATGGCCACGCCCAACGTCTTGGTCCATCCTTTGATCGCCACATTTTTTTTTGAGTCCTTCCCATCAGCGTTTTGGAAATGCCCTTCAAGAAGGGAGAGGCTTTGGCAAGGACAACATCTAAGATCTTGTTCTCCTTGAACAAGACAGTTGGTGGCCCCTATCTTAATTTTCATCTTGTTTACAAATCTGAGCTGAGGAGGGGATGATGAAGGAGGAGGAGGAGGAGGAGAATGGTGGACAGAATTGTCATGTTTTCTATTGAGCTGTTGGATAAACTTTTCCTTTTCATCGTGTCCACTTTTTGTGGTGGTGGGGGGGTTAAATTGTATAGCGAAAGAAAGCAAGACAAGAACACCACCAAAATGGGAGATTCCTCTCCAGTGGAGAATTAATCTGCTGGCCATTCCCAGGTTGTTGGGGTTTTTTTTTTTCCTTTCCTGAAGGCGCCCATTCTTTACTTCTAAGTGCCTAATCTTTGGGAACCTCTCGTGGCAATAATGCAGTTGCCTTTGTATCCTTCCCCCCCCCACCCCCACCCCCCCCCCAAAATAAGAGAAGCAGGATGGAAAGAGTTGAGGAGAGAAGCTTCTCTGATCTGCTGGCATGGCTTTTAAGTCAGCCCTCAAATTCATCGAGAGCTTGATTTTCCATCTTTCCACCTTGCAAGGCTGGAGAACGATTTTAGAAAAACGTTTTTTTTTTAAATAAAATAAGTTCGATTTGATGGGATGAGACCCTGGTCCTGGAAGGTGCAGAAAGAAGCATTCTGCATCAGGATGGATGCTTTTTGCAAAACCCATTGAAAGCAAAGGGAAAGGAACGCTTTAGCTCTTCAGATTTAAGTCATGTCTGGGGGACTGAGCGCCTTGGAGGGCAGATCCTTCACCCAAATGGCAGTTGGAGTTAATTCTGATTCTCAGGGATGAGATTCTATTTTTATTCTTTATTCCTTCTCCCCGTTTGGGTCTGTATGCTTGTCTGTGTGTCTGTGTGGTTTTTATTTTTTTTTAACGTGCTGCACGCATGGAGTTTAGGATGCATGTGTGCTCTCCCTCCAAATTCAGCAAGGCAACCTTGCTGTGGAAGATGTTTGGAAGGCTTATCCCATTTCGCTGACGGAAGATACGTACTGCCCAAAGCAGCTGAGGTTCTGGGCATGGATGAGGATAGGTAGGAAGAAAGAAGGAAGGAAGCCCAAATTGTTTGTCAGAAGGGGACCGGTGGAGGAAAAACAGAGCAGCTGCAAGCAAGAGCCGCTTTTGACCTGACACTTTCCCAATAGCTTAAAACACCTTCAAAAATGTAACGTGTGAAGGCACCACAGGAGAACTTTGCTGTTAGAAGGGCAGGTATTTCCATGTTTGAAAGTACACTTGCTCGTAAACTGCCTCCAGAGGTTGTGAATGCTCCAACACTGGAAGTTTGGAAAGCCATTTGTCTGAAATGGCATAGGGTTTCCTGCCTGAGCAGGGGGTGGGACTAGATGACCTCCAAGGTCCCTTCCAACTTTGTTATTCTATTCTATTCTATTCTATTCTATTCCTTCCAACTCTTATTCTATTCTATTCTATTCTATTCTATTCTATTCTATTCTATTCTATTCTATTCTATTCCTTCCAACTCTTATTCTATTCTATTCTATTCTATTCTATTCTATTCTATTCTATTCTATTCTTACTGGTAAAAGGAATTGAGGCCAGCATTCAGGAATTCAAGTTAAAGCATTTCAGCAAGTTGCTCCTGTCTCTTTTAAAAGCTGTATTTTCCAGTATCTGCTCTCTGAGTAATCTCATCCCTAGATTGCACGTGTGCGTATGGATGCGTGCGTGCGTGCATGCGGGCCTGTGTAACATCTTTCGCTTTTTTTTAATCCACACCTTTGAACACGCAAATAGGAGTATTATTCATTTTACTTTAGGGCTGAGAGTCTTCTAACTGAACAGCTGTCCCACGGAAGTGCAGCTGAAATATTGGATGTCATAAGAATAAAGAAAAAAACAAAACAAAAACAAAAAACAAGGGCATCTTCAAAACCACCAGAATTAGCACGCTGGGCAACCAATGTTTTTCTTAATAGTTTCCCCTTATGACGGGAAGTAGTTCTTCACTTACAACCACCACTGAGCTTAAAATTTCCACTGCTGAGTAAGGCAGTGAGTTTTGCCTCGTTTTATGAACTTTTTGGCCAAACTTTAAGTGAACCTGGTTGATTTGGCTTGTCGGAAGCCGGCTGGGAAGTTTAGAAAAGTTAATCACATGACCCTGGGACAGAGCAACTGTCATTAAATATATGCCAGTTGCCAAGCCTCTGAATGTTGATCACGTGATCATGGGGACGCCGCACAGTCCTAAATGCGAAAAAACAGTCAGAAGTCCCTCAAGCAGTCACTAAACGAATGGATGTAAGCCGGGGACTTACCCATATTGAATTTCTATTAAAATGCAAACGGCTCTTTCTAAATTGACATTTTGGGATACAAATTTAACCTGAACGAGTCACTGGGGTGAAGTGGGGCAAAGAATTAGGTTGGCTTGATAGAAATCTCTCTCTTTTTAATGGATGACATATGCAGAAAACCCGATTAACCAAGAACAAGAGTTCGTCCTTCTTGGGAAGAGGATGTGTGATTCTTTTTTTCTTTTTCTTAAAAAATCATTATCTTTAAAAAAAAATGCAGCAACATCAAACCAGGGCTATGCAACCATAGCGAAACTTTTTCACAACTCCAACTAGGAATGGGAATGAAATCCATCACGCATTGTACAACTTAACCCGGCTGGCATTTCCTTTCCCCCTTTTCAGGCATCAGCATGACTGTGACCAAATCTTTTTCTACCTTTTTCCAATAGGAAGGCACAAATACTTTCTTGGGAAATCATTTCAAAAAAACAAAACAAAATGGGGGGGCGGGAGAGGGATTTTAGAAAAAAAAAAATATTCCAAGACACGAAGCGGAGAAGAAGCTTGTTGGGACTCTTGTTTTCTCCCAACTTGGGGAACTGGGTTGGTTGATGGGTTTTATTCTGTAACCGCTGTCCTGCATTCCCGTTTTTCTTATTAAACCAGTATGATGCAACAACCCTCTTGAATTGTAAGTGGAGTTCACAGCCGCAAAATTACAGTTTTGAATCATTTAACATTTTTGGCCTTGGGAGATGACGACCACGGCGAGGTCATCTGGGCAATGTCGGGGAAAGGATGATCACAAATATTTGCCACTTGTTGAAATGCATGTATAGTGGTGGCCTTGGCAACTGGCTTCCCGCTGGTTCATAGAATCCACACTGCTCTCTTTTCAAGGCACACATTGTCCCCAATTGAGTTTATCACAAAGGATTCCATTCCAGAGATTGTGGTGTGACCATCAAGGGAGGACTTTCAGAGAACTAAATGAGCTGGTACTTCCCCCAAAGAGGAGAATTGGTTGATCAAGTGTTGAAGGAAATTTCAGACTTTGTCACCGAGAGACGAGGCTGTTGAGAGTTCACACGCAAAGTAGCAGAATTGCATCATTGAGCAAAGTTGAATCACTGGGCAATAATTTTCCCTTGACGTTGCCCTTGAGGAAGTCTTTGGTCTTTCCTTGAGGTTGTCCTCAAGATAGTCTTCAGTCTTTCAATGAGGTTGCCCTTGAGGAAGTCTTTGGTCTTTCCTTGAGGTTGTCCTCAAGATAGTCTTTAGTCTTTCATTGAGGTTGCCCTTGAGGTAGTCTTCACTCTTACACTGAGGTCACCCTTAAGCAAATGGCAACACCTAGCCAACCTTGGAGGAGGTTGAAAAAAGTGTGATCCAAGTGGGAGCTGGTTAGTCTTCGTACAACTGAGCAACAGAAAATCCCAGGATTGTGGAAGCCGTGCATGGAAGTTGAAAGACAGCTCAAAAGAGATCAGCAGCAAACTGCTTCTCAACTCCTGTTGAGATAACACCACGGGGAAGGTCCACCAAGACACCAGATGTTCAGGGAACAGCTGTTTCCCTGAATTCTTCTAGCGAGTTGCCAAAACATAAAATGCACCCATCATGTTTCGTTTCTTTCTCTTTTTTGCATCCAAAATCAGTTTAGTGGTGGCTATACTTTGAATAAGTAACGTTTGCATGTAAAATATATACATATGATATAAATATATACCGACCTCTCTCTATATATATAGCGCAGACTATATATATATATATATATATATGTAAGGTGCATGGAGGAAAATGTTTATCTTCGTACTTTTTGATACCATGTATTCACCTGTTGTTAATTTTTAATTATATTTGATATCAATCCGGGGGTTTGTTGCAAAAAGTTTATATTAAAAAAAAAGCAGTGTTAAAAAAAACACACACACAGATAAAAGTTCCAAAATGCAACATATATGGAACTTTAAGAAGGGGGCTGGGGGAAATCAAAAAAGAAAAAGAAAAAAGAAAAAAAATCTGTGATTGAATGACTTGCTGCCTGAATCATATTTATCAGCCAAACTTTGGATTCTGCCATTGTTTCTACAATTCCATTTTGTATGAAGCAAAGTCCTTGAATTTAAATAAACCCTTAGGAAAAAAAAAAAAAAGAGAGAGAGAGATTTAATTAATCTGATGTGAGCTCAACAGCAATTTATTGTGACATGCAAAGCTAAGCATGGTAAGTAAGTAAATGAAGAACACTGAAATCACATTGGTGGAAGAAACACATTTAAACTTCAGATTTATTCGTCTTAGAATTCCAAACAAGATGAGAAACTAAAATCCTTGTGTGATATGCCCTTTATAGGATGGTGAGAAAAAAAAAACCCAGCACAGTGAAAGTATAATGACCGCATGAAGAGAAAGTATAAATACTAAAAAAGAAAGCAAGACAGATTCATCTTCCAACGATGAAATGGAAAACAGATGAAAGGAAAGAGAACAGAATAACAGAGTAACACAGTTGGAAGGGACCTTGGAGATCTTCTAGTCCAACCCCCTGCTCAGGGAGGAAACCCTATGCCATTTCGGACAAATGGTTGTCCTGTCTCTTCTTAAGAACCCCCAGTGATGGAGCACCCACAACTTCTGGAGGCAAGCTGTCCCACTGATTAATTGTCCTCACTGTCAAGAAATTTCTCCTTAGTTCTAGGTTGCTAGAACTCACCACTCCCTTCTAGCACTGATGATGTCATCTAGTTTGGGTGATGAAACATGTGCAAGGAAACCATGAAGCTCACAGAGCACCCAGGACCCCACAGCTCAGCCCTGACCTACAAATATTCTCTTTTATTGGAAATAAGTTTATAATTTAGCACATTGCATCAACCCTCTTGGG